TAGTCCGTAGTTTCTCTTTTAAGAACAGAAAAATAGAATAGAATGCTTTATTGAAATACCTCACTAACGGTATCGACTGAACTGCTATACAATTTGTAAAAAAGGGTTATGAAACAGAATTACAAAATGTTTACATACTAGCCATATCAAATATAATTGCTATATCAAATCCTACATCTACAAACATAAAATCTTTGACTAACTGAATTATAAAACGTACTTGCGCATTTGTTAATAAAGGTATCACGGCATCTGTTAGCCTTGCGTAGGTCCTTAGAGGGTCCTTCGTTGAATGGAATGAGAGGGTGCAAAACATTTAATCATTGCTTACATTGGTCACACAGGCAAAATTCACAAAATACCTTTTAAGACACATCCTTATATACACCCCTGAAATAGGCGGAACATTATTTGCTTGTCACGCTACTAATTAGAACGTATCGACATAACTGGCCTGTACAACGTCAAGTCCCTGTCCACTGTAGGAAAACGTATTCACTAAAATACTCAATTGTTAGTGTTTTTCCCATGTGAGATACCTCGAGGAATTTGTGTCAATAGGAGTGAAAACTTACGCTAATTTGTAACATATTTTTGTTAGAGAGATTGTCTTCATTTCGCCATCGTTGCTAAACCCTCTGAGAGATTTATGCCAGAGGACCCTAACACCTGGCAGTACCGTATATGGAGAATTGTCGATTCCAGGCCTTTTGAGTATTTTATCATGTTGCTGATCGCTCTGAACACTCTTATCCTTATGATGAAGGTACGTGCTTTCTAATTCTAATAGAGGATCTCTCTCAATGATCTCTACCCTTGACAAAACTTAACTTCTTACTCTTTTCGGGACCGTGCTCTTTGTACAGTGTTCTTGTGCGGTTCATGACTTAATAGGAATTTCAGCGGATCTTAGCATGGGTTGTTGCAATGAAACCTCACTAAAGGCCACCGAGAAAAAATACCACAATAAGTTTTAGGCCAATAATGTTGGGAGTTGGTGGCCTACAATGTTGCGTCCGTTTGCAAAAAGTTTCACCAGTTTCAAACTTTGCGTAAGAACTCCCAACAACATGCAACAGGGTGTGCAAACGGACGCAACATGTAACATCCAACAATATTTGGGGGTTGTTGGTCAACAACGCTGGGTCCGTCTGCACGGAACTTAAAATTGTCGTTCGGGTCGAGCTTCGTGTAAACGAGACTTTTACATAACCTTTTGTTCCTTGCACGAACTGCGCGTGCAACGGACGATTTCCCAAAACCATGAGGCTTCGCCGGAATGTAATTATTCTGGCATTTTTTGTTATAACAGCACAGTGGAATTCAGGTTTCGTGTAAAGAGCTTGCGCTAGAACCTGTGAACACTATGACCGTTAAAACACTGTTAAGGCGTAGTTGCATGGATACGTGGTTACTAAGGTGGAAGACGGGTAGATGGGTAGATAGGAAAACAACTGAGAAAAGTTAAAATTCAGCCTAGTTCGTCAGATCCGTGTGAACAGAGCAAAATTATTGAACAGATCCGTTTAAACGCAGTGTCGGGGCAAATTACACAGCCGGTCGAAAAATCGGCTGTTGTCGTGTGAACACAGCCAAAACCTGCTGCTTTTTGGGCGTTCTCTTTGCCCTCGCAGACTTCACATCTTTAAAAACTCTCGAATATGTCTATTCAGTGTGGAGCAGTGGTCGTCAGTAGACATTCGACTGTAGTCAGTACTCACATTCAATCTAATAACTAAGACCGTTCATTTTTTTTTAGGTTTACAGGGAGCCAGAGCCGTATCGTAAGACCCTTAACATTTTCAACACAATATTCACTTTCATGTTTACCGGGGAAGCCATATTGAAGCTATTTGCTTTTAGATTGGTAAGACGTTCTCCTTTTGCTAACAGCGCTGCAAAACGCACCGCGCATGAGCGAAAAACTCAAGCCTGATCCGATTACTCTGGGATTTCCAGTTGCTTATATAAACCAATTAAGAAAAGATGAAATTCCTGTTTTAAAAAAGTGTGAATTTAGGTAGAAAGGTCAAGAAAAAAGTTTCTTTTAAAGACTTTTTTTTCTCTAGATTCAGGTTTTTGCGCGAAGGGTTTTTTTTGCTTGCACTAACGCTGAGAATGGTGACCTTTTTTACTGGCTTTCTTGCTTTTTTACTGGCTTTCTTGGGAATGTCTGTGCGGAAAAGAATGGCAGCTCTTAACCAAAATGAGGACTCTTAACAAGGACCGCTAAAACCTCTGGCTGTGGTCGGCTCAATAACTTGTTACCTTCACCGGGACAAGAGAAGAAATGAAACAAAAGATTAGCAGGCTATAAATCCTATCGTATGTTTAGTGTGGGTGTAAGGCCGTTATATCAAAAGCCCTTGTGGCAAACCTGTAACATCACAAGGCTTTTAGTGAGTTTATTAGTCATGGAAAATCAAGCATTGCCGTCCTGATATTCTTTTGTGCTTAATTATCTCTTTAAAGAATTACTTTCGAGACGGCTGGAACGTGTTCGATTTTATCATTGTGTTGGGAAGCTTGTTGGACTTCGCCCTCACCGTAAGCTTGGTAAGCAAAACACTGATTTAATGCACTTGTACTTTGCACTTTTTATTTGATTGTCAATGTATTTAGCACGAAAGTACTAATTGGGGACACTATATTTTACGTCTCCAACTGGAGATGGGACCGCCATTTTACGTGGTCATCCGAGCCTCGCGAAGGTCTAGCCTGTTGCAGTGCAAAGGGAGTACCTTCATTTCTCGGTTATTTTAAGACCCTGGGTATTGGTCCGGCCCCAGGAATCGAACCCGCGACCTCCCGCTCTGCAATCAACACGCTCTACCGACTGAGCTAACACTGCCGCGGCAGGGTGATTGATTTGTGTTTATCTTTACTTTTTTATGCCGGGAATAAACGTAAAAATGGTAGAAAAAAGCGTGGAAGTTGTGTCTACGACTTTTTTCTTTCAAGGCTTGCATTATACCCTTTACATTAAGGGGGCTTTTTTTATGTGACTTCCATATGTTGTGCTCAAAGCTGAACTGGAGTTATAACCAAATATTCTTAGTCATGTTATCTCAGTCATACTTGGAAATGAAAAAGGAAGATATGAAATTATTCTAACAAAGGGAAAACAAAGCATGATCGGTTTATAGTCAATTTTCGACAATACAGGTGCTTAACTTGAAATGGTTGGCCCAATATTTTCAAGATGTAATTTGCTTCCACCATGGCCATCGAAAGCCAGAGATAAACATGTATAGTTTATGTATAGCGGTGGAGTAATTTTAAATAAAACTGAACCATTATTTCAGGGTTTTTGTTGACTCAATTTTGTTCTTAAGGTTTTGAAGTACTACTAAAGACTCGTGGCATAGCCCCTTTGAAGTAACGAACTTACGTTTTCGATATCTATTCTTACAAAAGGATAATCAACAGATGCCCTTTGATCCCAGTCTCTTCCGTTTGTTCAGGGCGGCGCGGTTGATTAAGCTGCTGAGGCAAGGTTACACTATTAGAATCTTGCTTTGGACATTTCTGCAGTCCTTCAAGGTAAATGTTACACTTACCTTACCGTTTGTGTTTATTATGAAAGGCTCTTCACAGTTCACCGTTTTTCATTGTTAACCGGCTACCGCGCTAAATGGGAGGTGGGTGTCTGTGGTATCTAGGGGACTTCACTATGGCCACCCAGCCCTTAGATAGAATCCGTCCCATGGCAAATCCCAGCAACCCGGCCATGCGCCCCCATACCAGGCACCCGTCACACTGACGAACCAGTGGAAAGAGGCATAGCCATTGTTTTTATACCAGCAACTTTGCTCCAGGCTGTCTTTCTTTAACAAAGTGTATAAATGGTTACTAGCAACATCACTCACTTGGAAGAAATTGCAGTAAAGCTGTGCATTGGCAACAGCAAAAACAGTAGCTCTAGACACTGTCTTCAACTACATTTTCCACGTTTTGACAATACTGTTTTCTTCAAAGAGGAAACAACAAGCTTCCCTTTCTTACTTCCCCTAAACAATGTTGTGCCGCTGCCCAAGTTGCCTGTGAGAAACAACAAAGGAACCAACCTTTCCTGGGTGGGGAGGGGTGCTGATTTTTTTGGTCGCTGAAGTAAACACTATTTGACGAAAAATTGTAAGCTTCCGCCCAGTACGGAGTCTACGGTAAAGAGATCGTGTCTTGATAGCGATCACTGAACGGAATAGGCCATTTCAGAGTTCCAAAAACTCTCACTTTCAAAACGAGGCTTGGTGCGAAACCTTTTTATGTGAAAATGAGATTTGGCATGAGAATACAAAATCATGTTCAAATCAGTGGCTTCGAACTTAGCCTCGCATCGAAACAGAGGCTTGGAGCAACCTGGAAATGGCGTATTGGGTAAAACGAGGGTTTTATTTCCCACATCCCAATATATCAATTACACCTTTAATGCCATACTTCCACTGAATACCACTGGAAGAAGAAAGTGAGAAAGATGATCCAAGTAACAACGCGTTGGGAAAATAATGCTATTAAATAGATTTGAATCAAGGAACGGAAAAGATGTTCAAGTGTCGTTCAAAATTGTCGATTCACTGATGTCAACCTATGTGTTTCATTTAGGCGTTACCATATGTAGGCATGCTGATCGGGTTGCTTTTCTTCATTTACGCTGTCATTGGTATGCAGGTATGTAATGCAACATTAGGAGGTCACGCAACGCATCACGCAAAAGTGGAACCAGCGTCTTACACCCAGGGGTAGTCCAGATTTCCTAATGAAGAAATGATCTAACCTCAGGGGTACTTCAGATATCAGATTAATGGGGATGATCGATCAGGGGTACTCAAGATCATCCGAGTGAGAGGACGCGATTGAACCCCTGGGGTACTCAAGATATCCAAGTGAAGGGATGATCAAAGGGGGATTGGCTTAATTTAAAATTCGCGATTTCAAGATTTTGGGAATAAGACCAAGCCTCTGAGCAAGTGTATACATGTATATTGTTGGGGGTGTGGGATAGCTGCTCACTTTAAATTTCAACTTTTGGATTTAAATACCTGGATGTGATTTTTGTCCCCTATCACTCCTCTACATCACTGTGTAGCTGAAGTCCCTCTCCCACTAATCCCCTTCCCCCTACTACCCCACCCCCCTCCCTCTACCACTCCCTCATAGTACAGCGTAGTTGACCAGCCTGTGACCCGTTTTTGACCCGTTATGGTGGCATTGCCGTACCGTCATTGCGTCCATGGTAACAGGGTTTTCTACGAAACAGGTTTTGCGTCAAAGACTTAAGTGCAAACATGACAAATTAACGTTAACTGAACTCTTCATGAAGGTCAGGTAGACAACAAATACTAGTTTATGACTATTTGACTATTTCTTGTCTCTGCCGTAAAAATGATGTATATTCAACCTCTGAATATTATTCTGTAGATGTTTGGTCAGATCACCACGGATAACGACGAACTTGGTGAGCCCTGGAGTGAGATTAAAGCTCGAAATAACTTCCAGTCATTTCCCGAGGCTCTCCAAGTGCTTTTCAGGTATCACAGTAATTTACGAAAAATTGTAAGATTATACTCTGATCACTATAGAACAAAACCCCTAGTAGCGTTTTGTTTCTAAACTGTTAACAGGAGCTTCATTAGCCTGCGAGAAAGCTCTCCTATTTGGGCAAACGAAGTGAGCCTCGCGAGAACGCGCGAGCGAGGGGCCGAGCGCGGCTTCGCCGCTCGCTCGCGCGTTTTCGCGAGACTCGCCCAAATGGGAGAGCTTGCTCGCAGGCTAGAGCTCCATTCTTTCAGTTCTCTTTCTAATGATAAAATGACTACCAATACCAGTGGCGGATCTAGACCTTCAGATAAAGGGGATGGCCCGGTGTCTAAATATGGAAACGAGTTTAAATATAATCTAGTATTGCCGTGACTTATTATGCTTCTTGCTGAAATTCCTTGATATTGTTACGTTTTCCTGTCACGCTTTCGGCCTGCCTGCACTGTAAGTCCTTGATATTGTGACGTTATCTTGTCATGCTCCTTGCCTACATGCACTTTTGTTCCTTCGTGTTGTCACACGTTTTCTTGTCACGCTTTCTGCCTGCCTGCGCTGTAAGCCCTTGATATTGTGGCGTTTTCTTGTCATGCTCCTTGCCTACATGCACTTTTGTTCCTTCGTGTTGTCACGTTGTCTTGTCAGGCTTCCTGCCGGCGTTCACCGTCGTTTCTCGACAATGCAACGTTAACTTTGTCACGATATTTGTGTAGGTTTTTTTTCCGTTGCCACGTTGGTATTTTCGTATTGACTTGTCACGCTTCTTGATGTAGGTCTTTACATTATCGCGTAACGTACAGTAATTTTTCGAAAAAACGCCCTGTCTAAACACGAATTTGTAAATAAAGCTCTCAGACAATTTTTATGTTATAAAAAACTAACATCAAGTTGCACGGCTGTCAAGAAAAAAGAATAACAACCATTTCTTACAAATTAGTGGACCCGAATAGACTGCAGCTTTAAATAAATACGGGATATACTAGGGATAATAAAATTGAGAGAATACGGTATCGAGGTCCTTGCCCTTTCACAAGGATCTTGATATCGTCAGGCCAAACTGTAACCGCTCCGGCCTCCTGTGCTTTTTTCGCTAACGTGCAACGCATTTGCCTATTCATAGGTCTGCTACGGGTGAAAACTGGCAACTGATCATGTTAGCGTGTCAAAGCGGTGCAGTGTGTGATCCCAGGGTGGTGGATCCATCAGGCACATGTGGCAGCGCTTTCACTTACGTTTACTTCATTTCCTTTATCTTCTTTTGTTCTTTCCTGGTGAGTACAAAAAATTCAAATTTACGCTATTACATCAAAAACTTCAAAAAATACATTAGGCTGATTTAGCAACAGGACGGGAACGTTAGTTGGCGACGGGAAAGCGCGCGGAAAGGACCAAACACGACTTCCGGTGCCCAATTTGCCGCTCTGCCATTGGTCAAGCCAGATGTATGATTTGCGAGAGCCGTTGTGAACTGACGTTCCGTTCTGTTGCTAAATCAGCCTATTGTGTGCAAAGCATTCTCCATCACTATGTATAACACGGAATTTCTCGATGTGTACAGCAATACTTAGAGATATTTCAACCCTACATGTCACTTCCTATAAAATGTCTTTAATGATTATAGTCATATGCCCTATTCACACGTATTCAGATATTTTTGAAAACATTTTGTCTCAGTTTTAGGCCAGCATTTCAAAAATCTCTACTCAAAGGACCGTTTTCGAAAACCTGCATTTTTGTTGCCTGAAAACGCCGTTTAGGTGTGGACAGAAAGCTAAAACGAAGAAATGATATCCGTTTTCAAAAACGTCCGAATATGTGTGAACGGGGCCATGGCAAAACAATTATTATTCACACGAGAAAATGTTAATGGTCGTTAGGAGGATTCAATTTAGAGTCGCATATCCATAAAAAAAAACAGTACTCGGCACTGTGTATCACTGCTTGGTAATGAGAACACCTTGTACAGCGTAACAAACAACATCAGCGTCAAGGCTTAAATATTACACTTTTCTCAATACTTAGTTCTACGGTAAAGTATTGCCTAGTTCACTTCGCATGAACTAAGCTGCATATGAAAGTTCAATTTATTACTGGCTTTAAACCGTTTAACCTGTCTTTTGACTTTGTTTTTAGCTCCTTAATCTGTTTGTGGCTGTTATCATGGACAACTTTGAGTACCTTACACGTGACGAATCCATTCTCGGCCCACACCACCTCGACGAGTTTGTCCGCGTGTGGTCTGAGTTTGATCCTGGAGCCACGTAAGTTGCGAGATATAAATGTCTTCATGATATTTGTTGTCGATACTTTTTGTTGGTGTGCTTGTTGTTTGTGTCTTTGTTTATTTTATTGTTTATCGTTTTTTTCAATTTCCTTTTTTTTTTTTTTTCAGGGGTCGTATAAAGCACACAGAAGTTTGTCAGTTGCTAAGACAAATGTCTCCTCCAGTTGGAATCGGCAAGAAATGTCCTAAGATCGTCGCTTACAAGGTTGGCAAGTCTCAGTTACCTGAGTGTCATAGCTGCTAAGTTACAGAGCTAGAACATGATAATTTGTTTGTTTTTGGCTGGAGGGGCGGGTTGGGAACTGTTCCATCAATATTGGGGAGTCAAGTCCCTTTAATCAACAACAAGAAGTAAGCGAGCAACTGAGAAGTAAGCAAATAACAAAATGAATTGATTTTTAGTTGTAGAAATCCATCTAGACTAAATAAAAATAAGTAAATTCCATGTGGCAAAATTAAATTAATTTTTGGGTTTGACAGAAGGCTCATTGACCTTGGACACCTTATGATGCCTACACAAAGCAATTCTGTACAGAGTAAGGAGCGCACTGACCATGTAGCGATTAGTGTTAAGAACTGACTATGGTTATGAGGGTTGAAGCGCTGAAAATATTAGGCTGATTTAGCAACAGAACGGGAACGTCAGTTGACGACGGCGCGCGCAAATCAAACAACTGGCTTGACCAATGGCACAGCGGCAATTTGGGCATCGGAAGTCGAGTTTAGTCTTTACCGCGCGCTTTCCCGTCGTCAAATGACGTTCCCGTTCTGTTGCTAAATCAGCCTAATAAGGGGTAACGGACGCATACAACCTTGAACCGGGCTATATGCTTCTGGGGCTAGTGATTGCGAAAGAGTTAACTTTGATTGATTGTTAGGGTTGTCATTATAGATTTGTAAATTAAAGTTTACTTAACCCTGCGCTTTTTTTTTCAGCGCCTGATTAAGATGAACATGCCGCTGTACCCAGATAACACGGTCACATTTACGGCTACTCTATTTGCCCTGGTGCGGACTTCACTCAAGATAATGACTGAGAAAAGTAAGATTGTTGTCTGTCTTTCTGATTGTTTCTGTTTTGCGTTACACATAGGCTGTGAACTGAGATGTTTTGGTTGGCTCATTGGTTTGACTTGGGTCTCGCGACTTTCTTCGCTAAAAAAAGGTCGACATTTGGACTGCTCTGCTCGGACGTAAGAGCTAAATTCGTGCACGTAATTGTCTTTTTAAGCTAAATGATTTGACCTATGCAAACGGTCTTATCACCAACTGACATAATGCAAAATATTGAAAGAACCCTGTGCAGCACCAAGAAAAACCTGCCCAAGACGGACAGCATCTACGAAATTCAGACCAGGGACAATTTTTAAAATTCTTCTTTCTTTTCAGATAATCTTAAGGAAAACGATAAGGAATTGAGAGCCATGTTGAAAAGAGTCTGGCCGAAACTCACAAAGAAGACCTTGGACAGAGTTGTTCCAAAACCTCCAAGTCTCATAAACAATGGTAAGAATCAATAAAAAATTTTGAAACTTTGAGAGCAGGGAAAGACATTATGCGTATGAGCGATACTGCTTGTTTTTCCTACGGGTTCCAGTTGTTCAAAAGGTAAATAGCGGTATCGGCTTGATAAATCTCTACGTAGTGGATAGCGCAGTCAGTTTCCTGACTTTTATCCAGTGGATAGCGCTGTCCAGCTTTGTAAAACTCTGGGGCTTGGTCAACGGAGCGGCATGTGGGAACTGAGAATGCGCCTGGTACTAAACTCTTTGTTACTCCGCTGTAGGGGTCTCAATTTGCTATCTTGAATGAGCCCGAACCGAAGCGCAGCCAATCGATTTACTCCAACGGAAAGACTTGAATATTTACTAAGAAGTGCATATGGTTTATTGACCCTTGTTCGGACTTTCATGGTTAATTTTGCAATTTTTGAATGGATGTATCTCTGTCAATGTTGACCTGATAAACACCAAACTTGAGAATTGTGGAAAACTCGGTGTGGTCTAACACTTAACAGTGTGGGTCTTGTGTTGATAGTCCCATAATACTCGGACTCATACCCAATCCCCCCAAGATATGAAGTCCTGCAATGTCAAGTAATTCTCTCGTGTGCTATGATGATACTTCAGGTCAAGTTAACTGTGTCGTCATGGACTTTGACTAAATGTCGGGGGTTGCGGGTCGCGAGTGAAAGTCACTGGTGCCAGCCAGTGCGGGTAAACGTTTTGGGTAACACAGCGTGCATAACAGGCACTTTATGAGCCAAGCGAGGCGAACGCGGCATTTTGCTCGTCTCGCGCTACGCGTGAAATTGCCCCGTTCGCCTCGCTTGGCTCATAAAGCGCCTGTTATGCAGACTATCGGTAACAACAAATTACCAAACCAAGGATAAAATACCAAAAAAGTACACGTTCTACTTACATCATGCTCATGCTTGGTATATCGTTTTCACGTCAGCAACTATGATCATTTCTTGTAACAAAAAAAAGAATTTACATGCGAAATTAGTCCAATCCCGACAGAAATTTTTGGTACACCAACATGGCCGCCGAGTTATTGTTTTGTACACCAATATGGCCTCCGTGACGTCATGTGAAAATGATCTGTTGAGATGTAATGCATGCGACTTCATGTAGTCATGTTTATTATATATTTCTTTTAAAGAGGTAATAATTTTTACAATATTTCATTTTCCAGCAAATCAAGCGAATCAGCAGCCGCAAATGACCGTGGGAAAAATATATTGTGCGAAATTAATTTACGAAAACTACAAGTTTATGAGGCGGAAAGGAGAGGTACAGAATAAGGTAAAATGGACAAGAAGCTGTTAAAGTTGATTTTTTGTTTTACAGGGGCAGATCTGGGTTGATTAGAATGAAATGATAAAGATCGTTTCGGTCAGTCCAACTGTGCAGTTGCTGGGTCAGTAGGTAGGATTGGTCAAGCACGAATCTGAACTCAAAGTGTCCTTTAATTTTGTCAAATATAAGAAAAAGCGTCTCAGTAAAAGAGATTAGCAGATTTTGGGTTCTAGTCGGTGAGTAATTCGTCATAAACGGGCCTTAAGAACGCTAGAATTTAAGGGGGTAATGATATTGTCAGAGCTCAGAGCATGTATTTACAATAAAACGATCACATTTTGATCCTTACAATATTATCCAGTAGAGACTGCAGAATATCGTTCCCTTTTACCGGACAGGACTGGGCTCTACCGTGGGCTTGTTTGCCGCGCTGTTTTTCCCTTCCAGTTCTTTTTCTTGGGTCGTGACGTCATTATTGTGCTTCAGGCCTAAATTTGCCTGCCCAACGCCCTTTCAGCAGTGCTTTTAGTTTCTCCTGCGGTCTTTCCTTGTTTCTTTCTTCCTTTTACAATATTATCATATCTCTAATCCAATATTAACGTTTATTTTAAATATTTCTAATAGCATTAAAATAAATATAATACGTTTTTCCTCAAAGTAAAATTATAAGGTATCCTAAACTAAATACTCTGAAAATGTTTACGAAAGTGTAATGCATTAAACCACAAGTCACAGTAACGTCAAAATAAACCTTTAACCTGTAAAGAGACACCAAAAAAATATTTTTAAGAAACAAGTTCAGAGTCGCCTTTGTTCTTTTGGTCAGCGGTTGTTGTGTCCTGAACCGATGATCGAGGGAACTAAGGGCTCTGGCATAATAATCTGTAACTTAAGGATAAGCTTTTAAAACCTAACTTTAAAGAAAGAGATTTAACTGTAGTATAACAAGAAGTTTATTCAAAACGTAGTACTTGATCGCAGAATACAGATAGCACGATGATAACTAGCTCTGTCGTTTATTCCTTCAACTCTTCCTACCCCTGCGTCGTATCCGGGTGCTTCTTGGGATTTTTGACGGTAATCGCAGCACAAGAGGTCATGGGAAGGATGATAAACAAGAAGCCTTTCTGTTCGCAATTATCCTTCCCAAGTTCCTTTGCGTTTTTTAACCTTTCTGTGATCGTTTTCGCTGCATTTCAAGAATTTGCCTCACTTCTTGCGCGGTGGCTTGCTGCCAAAGGTCCCAAGATTCTTCTAAGAGGTAGTCTATTTCCTGCTCGTTGGATTGACAAAGTTGGTTAAAGATAAGCCTGGTGGTTGCATAAAATGCTTAACTGTTGTAGAAAGAAACATTTCACAGGAAAGCACTACGTAAGCTCGAACCCGCTTCCTACCAGACATTTGCCAAGGTCATCTTTCACAGTGCTTTGCTGTTAAATGTTGTTTTTACTTTTGGCCAGGACCTTCTTGGCTTCTTCACATGTTTATAGTGAGTAACTGTCTGTCTCAAGCAACACGACCATTTCATTATTAGTTGATTTTATTTCACTTCTTATCTTCTTTCTGTTCTTTCTCTCTTTATCTTGCCTTGGAGCAGGATGCCGACCAGGTAGGTTTTACTTTGTCTTTACCTTTTGTTCTCTGATACTCTTCTGTTTTTCTGCGGTTTTGTTGTTGTTGTTGTTGTTGTTATGGCTATTTTATTCATATTCTTTTTTTGTTCTTCTGCCACATTTGTGGATTTTATCTACAAACGGGAGAAGCCCGTTGCACAGCACAGTAAACAGCACCACAAAAAAACACTAGTCAGTTGCTATCATTTGATTGATCGCATGTTAGGGTTTTATCCACATCCTCAAAGTTTAGAATTACCACATGACTGTTCAGTAGCTTTCATTTGACTGTTCATACGTTCTATACCTTCACTGTGTGCCACCTTGCACGCTGAGGAAAATAAACAGCATCAATACTTCATAAACTGCCTCGGCAGCCATATTTCTACATCTTAAATAATCAGTAGACTCATTTGCTCCCCTCGCCTAGAATGGCTACACGCACCGAGCCCTATTGCCTTTTCTGGTTTAATTTATTTTTCCTCATCACTGTCAACTGGCGTTAATTTCTCAGGGAACTGTTCTGAGTCGCTTTGTTGGCGGATCTATGTTCCAGAAATTACGACGAGAAAACGACCCTGAATTAGGAGAGGTATAAACTGAAATATTTAATTCTTACTCCAGCGCGTAATCTTGCACGTAAACATTCTGTTGGTGACAGTAACTTTGTCCAGGTCACTGGTTATCCAGCCAAGAGTTCGTCCCTTCTGCTATTAACGAACTTAAAACTCATCTACTCTGCTAACTTTAAACGTTTCTTCCTTTAAAACGCCCATTATTTTCAAGTAATTTTAAACTTTCAGTCGTGTTTAATACTAACGAATAAAATC